GGTTACCTCATGGGTATCTGCTGTTACATTTATATGTCACATTTATATTTATATATGTTACATATATATGTCTGTAGTGCCCTCCTTTGCTTTAAGACAAGGGCATTATGCATTCTTCAGCTTTTTATTTAAGGTATGCTTTTTATCTTCACACCTTATAAGTTTTGATGTGACTTCAAGCCATTCATGGATTTTAGGTGGCACAAATTGCAGTGACAAAATTGGCTTTTGCTAGGGCTAAAGGAGGTAGTACTATGCTGAAGCATCCTTTTTTGGTTACCAGCATATTTTAATAAGCATTTGAGTGGGCCTGACTTTGAAAAGACCAGGAGCTTGCTTTTCTGCCAAACTTTATCAAATTTAACATGTGGTCTGACATATTGCAACATGGATATGAGCATGCAGAACTGACTAGCTGAGTGCTAAGCAGGTCATTTGCCTGTACAGGCCTGTTGATTACATGAACATGGGACTGATGGGCATTTTCCAGTAACCAAAGGGCAAATCCTGTCACAGACTGAGCTGCCACCACTCTCTTGGCAATGGACATGGAATATTTACTCAGTGCTTTGCTGAACATGGACTTTTGTTTTAATCTCATTCTAACTGCATAGCGGTGGTACTGTCTTTTTAATTTCATCCTTCCATTCTTTATTTTAATATGTTTATTTTTTATGCCTTGTTTTAGTTTCCAGTGGCTGACTAGCACTGTTTTTGTACTGAGTTTCTCTGCTTCATCAGGAGACTCTGACAGTTCTCCTGGATGCCAAGTGTTCCAAACTGACAGGCTGCCCGTGTCATTTTAAAAACCTGACAGTCATCCTGGAGTCTCCTCGTTGCTTCTGTTCTTGCTCCTAATCTTTTTTTTTTCAGACGTTCACTCATTCAGTTAATTCTTCATCCTTTTTCAAACTATTTTCCTCTGTGTTGTGGATACAAATCTTGTGATTTTAATTTAAAAGAAAGTTGAGATCTGAAGACTCAAATGTGTGTGAGTGTGTGAATGTATTAAAAGCAATAATTTGTATTATTCCTTTTCTGAAGTGATTCTACAAAGGTATTCTGAAAGATATTACATTCTAAAATATATGTATTGTATATTGTATATATATTCAGTATATGTATACTAAATTTACTTGTAAGCCTCAAAATATAATTTTTATTTGTTTGCTTGTTTCACAAACTTAAGTTCCACAGTGCTGCTCAGTTTCAAGGAACAACTTAGAAGTTCCAGTATATACATATAAGTAGCTGTTAATGCTGATTTTTTGAACCATGGTGCATTGTTAATGAATGATTCTCATTCATATTCCTGCTGGAGTATTTGCAGCAGGACATCCTGCATAACAAGTGGCACAGTGAAATTTAACAGATCAAAAATTTGGCACCTTTTTTTTTTTTTTTTTTCTTCCTAGAGTTGGCTTTTCTGAGATCTCAGTCTCTGATACAACTCTTATTTTGACTTTAAATAAAGCCTAAGCATAAGAATATACTTGTCTATTCAGGAACATTGTTTTTTTTTCAAGAAAAATGCAATCCCTGTCAGATTTGCCAACTACATCCACCTTCTGTGGACTGGGCATTCTTATTAACTGAGATTGAGAAGTTTCAGTGTGAGCAAGAAGCAGAAAACTGTTTTGGAAAACTTAATCACACAAAGGTTGTCCTCTTTGCTAGTGACATGCAACTCTATATTTTATAATAATTTCTATTTTCTCAGTTGCTAGGGTAAGGTATTCTACAAATTTACAATTTTTATTGTTTACCAAAAAGCCAAATACATATGTAAGTGAAACTCTGTATTATTTGGGACATTAAGTACTCAGTAGGATTTTTTAAAAATAAATTTAATATTAATATTCTTCAATAAAAAATTGACCTCGAGAATTTAAGATCTTTTAATTTCTTTTAAATGCAACTAATACAGACAAAACTGCCTATGTTAGTAAATTAGTAAGTTAGTATTCCAAACATGTAGACTCCCCTCAAAATTGCTGTGAGAAAATTATCTTGAAGTTACCACAAGGTATGTGCAAATTTGAAAAATCATAATAGGAGGTGGTTATCAGTTGTTTACTGCCAACCTTGAAGGCTGAATGGAGAAGAATCCACTTAGATTTGTTCTGGGTCCAGTATTATTCAGTATTTTTATTACTGACTTGCCTTATGAAATATGGATGATGCATATAAAATTTACAGATGCTTAAAGCTGGGAGAGGCTTTAAGCAATGTGGGAGCAGGTTAGAATGGATCCTGATGAAAGAGAGCATTGAAATATTAGGATGCAGTTCAGCAAGGAGAAATACAAAGTTAAGTTCCTGAAGAAACAGAAATCCACAGTGCAGATGGGCCGGTTAAGTGGCAGCTCAGTATAAACAAATCTAAGTATTATGCCACTTGTGGCCTGTATGTGGCCCCCTCTATTCATAAAATTAAAGAATGGTTTGGGTTGGAAGGGATCTTAAAGGGCATCTCATTCCAATCCATCTGCAGCAGTTGGGCAGGGGCACCTCCCACTAGACCTGGTTTCTCAAAGCCCCAGTCAGCCTGGCCTTGAACACTTCCAGGGATGGGGCATCCACAGCTGCTCTGGGCAGCCTGTGCCAGTCCCTCATCACCCTCACTGTGAAGAATTTTGTCCTAATATACAATCTAATCCTACTCTCTTTCAGTTTGAATCCATTCCCCCGTCTTCTGCCCGTACATGCTCTTCTTCTACGAAAAGGGCTGTCAGAAATGTTCTCTAGCCCTATCCACATAACCTGAAATTGTAATAGCAGGTTCAAGAAGTGTAGTTAGTTCTAGAAATTCTGTTTTTTCTGCCCTGGCAGAGTATTTGCCGCATCCTTGGCTGTGTCATTATCCAGCTCTCCTTACCCATGGAAGAAGAACAGATTTCTGTTTGCTGTATCTTCAAAGTCTACTTTGAAATGGTCAAGTATAATCTTTTTCATTATTTGCTCAAGTAAGAAGCAGCCAACAAACTCTAGTCTTACCTTACCCTGCTTATTGGTTCAGTGTACATCTTTTGAGCTTATTTTGCTGTTGTTGCTTTTATTGGCAGATATTTATTGCTTAAATTAATAATAAAGGATTGTAATTTGACTTGAGAACTTAGATTGCCTGATCTATCTACACTGACTTCCACTACATCACATTTTTTTGTCTACCTTATTTCTAAACTCGTCTGTGCTTAGCAGTACCCTCTGGTTGTTCTTTTGCTTTTGTTCCCTAGAATAAACACCACAGTCCTTGTTATTTTCTTCTCATGAAGAGGGGAAATCAAGTTGCTGCTTAGCCTTTTTCATCAGCTTAAGGAAATTAAACTCTAAATCTTGGTAGCTCTGCCCTGCAAGCTCTTTAAAATGGGTACACCAGACCTTGGCACTTAGTGTGTCATCGCTCTGTTAGTCAATGACATATATAAAAATCACCTGGAGCTTGTACCTGGGGGTGGCTTATGATCTGTTGTGTCAGGATGACACTCACTTGAGAACTGCTGTTTCCAGGGAACGCTTCCTCAGTCTGTATTACCCATGGTTAAATATGTATGTCTATGTTAAAACACATGTTGTCTGACCACAAAGACAATAAAGGAGCTCAGGGTGTTCTCTGTGCCTGCTCTGTCCTTGTTCACCTTTCCTGCTCCTTACTTTCTCTAACTTCTCCCAGCTTTCAAAGTTCTCTCCAGTCTTCTTGGCTACAATTTTATTAATTTATATGTTTTTCTGGAGCTCAGCCAAATTGACTGGCAACAGGCAGCTGTATCTTCCTACCTAAAGAACTTCCTCAATACAAATGAGTTTTTACCAGCCTGACTCAGTGTTACCTGAAAGAACATGCTGCTGTCTTGCATCTAACTACAACAGATTTTAATTGTCATTGATTCTTAATTACCCTAATATACAGAAAATATGAGTCTATTATGGACTGTTGCATTAAGTCAGTTGCATTGCCAATTTTTACATAGGTTCTTCTATTGTGTTGATTTCCCTCATTTCAAACTGTATAATGAAACTGAGATGTATATTCTGAAGGAGGGGGATTTATTTGTTTGTTTTTATTATTTGCTCAACTTAGCGGGTAGGCAAAGCCATATGCAAATACAATGCAGGTCTGATTTTATTAAATCCTGTAAAATTCAGGAACAATTGGCATTACTGGGCAAGTTCATGTAAGGTGTTCTGATTTTCCTCCATTCCTAGTTACCACATTACATTTCATTTGTAATGTGTAAAGGAATCACATTTTTCAAGCATTTCACTAGGGTTTTTATTTTAATATTCCTAGCATTTATTTGAACAGAGTAAAACATGTTTCAAAATAGTTCTACATCTCTCTGATAGAAATAGATAAAAATGAGTTCAGTATCTCTAAATATTTAAAGAGAACAATGTAGAGAGAAGCTAAAAAAAAAAAATTAATATGATCTGAAGCTTATTATATTTCCAGCCTGTAGATTAAGCAGGTGATATCCTTCCATATACCTATTGGTTATTGTGTTTTGCCCTCCAGCACCTACTTTTTCTTAAATATATGGCTATTCTCTCTGGTTTTGCATTTTTGATGCTACTTCATTTCTTGCATAGCCAGTTGTAAGTCCTGGAAAGAACAGGAGATCTCTGTCTCCACTGGATGGGACAGGGCCAAGCAATCTTTATGTGGTAAATGAGGTTTTATGTGTTTCCCTCTATGCTCTGTTTGTGACACTTAAATGCAAGCTTTACAGAGATGCTGAGACTATTGGAAAAGGCCATTGTTTCCGAGTGCAGTTGGATTCAGGTCAGGGATTTAACCCCATTCCCAGTGGTAAGATGGAGACCTACTTATAAGCATGTTCTCCAGAGGCATTTGTGGTCCCACATGGTCTGATGAGAGCTACGAGGGTTGTTTTAAAGGGAAGGGTGATCTACCCAGCTGCTGCTGTCATCCTTGCTCATGGAAAAGGGTTTTTCACTGCAAGTTTTCCACTTTGGAACAGATGACCTGTTTTGTTCTAGGTGACTGGTATGAACAGCTATATCCACTGGTGATTACACTGAAGGACTGCATGGGAGAAGTGGTGACCAGGGCCAAGCAATCCATGGCGTTTGTCCTGCTCCAGGAACTTGCCTGTGATTTGCCCCAGTGTTTGATGCTGACCCTAAGAAGAGACATCGTCTTTAGCCAAGCAGTAGGTTGTCTTGTGTCACTTACTTATTTCTGTTGCTGTAATTATAAGCATACTGTTCATGCTAGTGTTTGTGGTTTTCTTTTTTGTTGTTTTTTTCTTCCAATTTAACACAACTTTTTCATTTATTTTCCATGATATTCACCTAAATATTTATATAATGTGATAGGAGAATAAATAGTAAGTAGAAATCCATAGTACTTCTGTAACTGAGTCAGAGAAGCAGGTCTGCAATGGACTGAAAAAGTTGCCTAATCCTGCCATTGCACAAAGAAGGATGCAGAAATCTATTTTTAGACTTCCTACATGATACAGTTCTCAAGTGTAGCTTTGAATACGTCTTGCTGATATTCATAATCACAGAATCACAGAATAGGTAGGGTTAAAGGACCTCTGGAGATCATCCAATCCAAGCCCCCTACCAAGGCAGGGTCGCCTGAAGTAAGTGACAGAAGAACACACTCAGGTGGGGAGTATATCTGGAGAGGGGGACTCCAAATTCTCCTTAGTCATCCTGTTCCAGTGCTCTGCCACCCTCAGTGTAAAGAAATTCTTCCCCATGTTGAGGTGGAATGTCTTGTTTTAGTTTATGGCCTCATCCTATTGCGAGGGACCACTGAAAAGCATCTGGCACATTCTTCTGGCACTCACTTTTGAGGTATTTTGTGCATTAATGAGATCCCCTTCAGTCTTCTCCAGACTGAACAGGCCCAGCTGCTGCAGTCTCTCCTCATAAGATGCTCTAGACCCAAACCATCTTTGTGTTCCTCTCTGGACTCTCTCCAGTAGCTCCTTGTCTTTCGTGCCCTAATGAGCCCAGAATTGAACACAGCACTCCAGATGTGGCGTTTCAGGGCATTGGCTGGGCAGCATCCAAGCTAGGGGGAGTTTTTTCTCCTGGTTACCTTGGAAATTGAAAGCAGATTATTTGTTTTCAGGTTGTAGCAGTATTTTAATTGTTTAAAGACTATTAGCATGTTTTTCCTTAGAACTGTCTTCCCTTGGCAAATATCTGAAGCTCTTTATGTCTTCTCCTGTAGATCATGTTTTTTCAGATAGATTTTTCTCTAAATATTTCCCTGATTTTCTTCCTTCAGTTCTATGTTGCAACTTCCAAGGAGATTCAGTTGCATTAAGTGTTGAACCACTTTCAAATCCATCATAATTCACATGTTTAATTCACATAATTCGCATAATAATTCACAGTCTTGCATGTTTAAAGCCTGACAAGTGAATTTCTGGTCTGATTTATGTCACTGTATATAACACACAATGACACAAAACAAATAAGGCTTATCTAATATAAATTATCAGAATATTTCACTACTTCATATACTAAAAAAAGCATCAAAATACGTTATTATGAAATAATGTATATAGTCACTAAACAGAAATACCTGTGCTGTTTTCTCAAATATGGAGGTGTTACCTCTGCTGTGTATAATGATAGCAAGCCTCATTTTAACTGTTTTTCTTGTAAAGGACACCTCTTCATTGCACGTGTTTTCATTATCTTTACAGCTTGCTGGATTGGTCTGTGGTTTTGTAATCAAATTGCACACAGGTTTACATGATCAAGGATTTTTACAACAGCTTCATACTGTTGGATTGCTCGTGCAATATGAAGGACTCCTTAGTACATATAGTAAGTATTGTTCTTAGACAAAGTTCCTTATGTACCCAACCCAGAAGTTTACCCAGGAAGTTCTTATTTTAACCTCTGATCTGTTTCCAGTAATTTGGCTTGTTGAATCAAATACTGTCCTTACAAGACAGTAGACTTGCACAACTAAAGTCATTGATACTGTGTTGCCAATTCTGCAGCAAAAATTATAAATCTATTTCATTTTGAGTTCCGCAGAGAACACGACCTACTAATTGTTCCATGCAGACCTGACCTGAAATACCACATTTATAAAGATAATCGAAATAGCAGATTTAAACACTTACTGCCTTTATCAGCTTTGGCCATGATCACCAGTGCTGATAATGTGAAGATAGCCTGGAAACTGTTTCATAGTTTGTTACAGATGCCATTATTTGATATGTATTAAATAGCAAATTTGGAGGGAGAAATTGCCTTATGTTTCAAACTTTGAACTAGATCTATTGGAATCGTTCCCCAAATCAGAGATTTTGACTAAAGTAGAGGAATTTAGCTATTGTACAGCTTTTTAATGCAGTTCTTACTTGGAAATAGCTATCTTCTCCATTTTGCATGATGCACGTTGCTATTCTCCATTGTGCATGATGCATGAAAACCATTGTCCTCCATCGGCAGGACAGTCTTTTAAACACTTTCAGAATAGACAAAAATGGTTTTTATGAGGTTATTCTGTGCCTATATAGAGCAGGCTGATTTTCAGAATTGCTTAATGCTCATAGTTACCACTCAGGCCACAGAATTGTCAGCAGTTCAAGAAATTAGTTTCATTCTATGTAGGCTACTGTAATGTGGATTTAGAACTGTGATTTTTAGATGCACAGGCTGGAAAATACAATCCTCATATTTCTTTAACCTATACATTGACTGATCTGCCACCTCTGTTAATAATCTCTTTAATCTTTTCATGTAGGTGAAGAAGCAGGGATGTTAGAAGACATGGCTGTGGGCATTTCAGATTTGCAGAAAGTGATGTTTAAAATAATTGAAGCCAAATCAGAAGATTTTTTGCCTATTATAACTGGAAGGCGGTAAGAACTTTGTTTTTTGGAGCGTGGGAAATAAAGCTACAGTTTTAATCTGTAGCCCGTGAAACCCAGCTAATGGTTTTCTTGTTGCTGAATTCTATTTTATGGAAAATGCAATAGTTTTACTTTTCAGAAGGTGAAGTAGCATGGACTCTAAAGGCCAGTAAGCTCTGGATTACTCTCCTGATAAAAAGCTAAAAGTTCCAGTTAGTACAAATTAATCAGAACAATGTCTGTGTTGTGTAGAGCTACTGGTTCATTATTCACACATAGATACTGAATGCTAGAGAGGTGACAAGGTCATTATTTACAAATGTTGTCTCTAACTGTGAAGCTTTGGTTTTGAATGTCCAGAATTTGTATTTCAGTGTGAGAAATGAAATTGCAATTCCAAGAGTTATACCTTGATTTTTTTTAAGATGGAAACCAAAAAACTCAGATGCCACTTAGCATTCAAAGCTTAGTGGTCACTTTTAAAAATTGAAGCCTTTTTTAGCTGCTGAAAATCACACAGGGCATACTCAATCTCAGAAATCCTTGCATAAAATCACTTATCATTTATGAATCTCACATAAGTACTGCTGAATATCAGGACATAAACTGCAATACTCCATTAATTTTGGCTACTTGAGAGTTAACAAGATTGGGATGGATTTTTCATCTTTATTATTACTCTAGTCTGAAGCTCCAAATGCTTTTATTTTGCAGAAATCACTTCCTTAATAGTATCGTTATTCTTAAAATGACTGTAAATTAAATTCAGCAACTTTTAGAAAATATATGTTTCCTCTGAAGGGGATTTTCACCACTGGTTTACTTAATTATTCTGGATGATTCACTCATTGTATGGGCTTTCTGAGAAAGGATTGAAATAAATAACAGGAAGGCTGGAGTATGATAGGCAACACATTGGGAATAATTAAGAATAATTATGATGTGTGGATAAAACAGAAGAAATACATCCTTTGTAAATCACAGCAGTCAAAAATCCTGAAAAATCCAGCATCTACATTTGCTGGCTTGCTGCCATTACTGTGGTACCTGTTGTCACACCAGGAGGTCCTGGATTTGAAAGAGACCTGAGCTTTCAGCTGCCTCAGGCATTCTGGATTGATGGAGCAGCCAGTGTTTAGGAAGAGGAGCTATAGCCTGTGATTGCTGTACTGTACTTATTGGCAGATATTAACTGGATGGGATTAGTATCAGAAAAAAAAACTATAAGGCTTATGTGGAGGAGTCCCATTCCTCCTAGAGCTGTAATGAGACTGCTCCTATCAAACAGCATTGGAAATCAACCATAAAGAGAGAAGATGGTGAAAATCTAGCTATTTTCTAATAATTGTTTAAGAAACCCTCCATTTTTAGATCAGTTTGGTTGTTATATGGTTATATGGTATGGCTCAATAAATGAGAGTGAAGAATGTAGAAACACAAGACAGAAAATCAAACTACAGATTCTCTTATCTTGAAGAGTCAGCATATTCACTTGTAATTATTTTTTCTGGGGAAGTGCTTAAATCTGACATTCTGTGTGTACAAACAAATCAATCCAAAGTGTGTGGCACTGTCTAGCAGTGCACGGACCTGGCGTGGGTAGCCGACACCAGCCACCCAGGGGAAGTGAAAATCTGTTCAGGAACTCTCATTCTTTTATTAGAGGCCAAAATATTCACTTTTTGAATATTCTATACAGAATCACAGAATATTTTGAGTTAGAAGGGACCCACAAGCATCAAGTCCAATTCCTGGCCCTGCACAGGACTTCCCAAGAATCACACTCGGTGCCTGAGAGTTCAAATGCTTCTTGAACTCTGTAAGGCTTGGAGCTGTGACTCTTCCTTGAGGAGCTAGTTCAACCTGCTCAGTCACTCTGGCTGAAGAAACTTTTCCTGACATCCAACCTAAACCTCCTCTGACACAGCTTCAGGCTGTTTCCTCCTGGAGTCGAGACCTGTCACTGCTCACTGGAGAGAAGGGATCAGTGCCTGCCCTGCCGCTTCCCTTCCTGATGAAGTCATAACTGCAGTGAGGTCTCCCCTCAGTCTCCTCCAGGCTGA